TCCACACCAGCCTGCCTTCCTGCAGCCTTGACCAAGCACATGCCACACATGCTGGGGCATGACACGGCTTCCCCACTCAGTCACACTCTCTGAAATGGCACTGGCCCGAGTTTATAGACAGACGCCAGCCAGCACGGAAGCTCAAGACACACAGCAGCCCGCAGCTAAGTGACAGACCTGGGTTCAAACCCAAGCTGGCCTGACTCCTATTCAAGCCCCGTGCAGCTGCTCTCATTAGAGTCCCCTTATAAAGGCAGGTTGCTGGACCGACCGACCCCCCACTGAGTCCATGGCTCTGGAGGGGGGCAGGGGGTGCATGGGAGCCTGCATTTCTAAAACATCCCTGGTCGGGGAATCCTATCTCTAGAACCAATGTGTGGTGCGGGGCCACCAAACACTGGCAGAGACAGGCCTCCTTCATCCATGGTGGTGCCAGCTGAGGGCCCGGATGGAGAGTCAATCAAGGACCGAATGCCAATGCTGTCGGGCACTTGCATGTCCTTCCTTAAAAAGGAGCCCAGGCTCCTCTTCTCTACCGCCCCACCCTTGGCACCCAGTGGCTTTGCTCCTCAGTTGCATCCTTCCCACCTCCTCCCTTCAGAGAGGAGAGGGCTGAGAGGGGGGAGGGCCGGGGCTTGTCAGCTGGGAGGTGTCAAATCAGAAGCAGTGGAGTTCTCACCCCATCCCAGGCCTTCCTCTGGCTGGGGAGCAGCAGGCGGGGGTGAGGGGCTGCTTCCTGCCTGGGGGTCAGGGTCACACCTTGCACCTGTGCTGGGAGCTCATTAGCACTGAGGTGGTGCTAAGTGCGCCTCATTCTGCTGAGTCTTTGCTGAGACTCCAAAAGGGAAACGAGCCATTGCCAAGCAGCAACCCTTCAGAAACAAAAACCGGCCTGCATTTTCCAGTGAGCTCTGTCAGGGCTCTTTCAGGAGGGCGCCGCCTCGGCCTCACCTTCCGCTTTCGGAGTCCCGGGAGCAGCGAAATGCCCAAACACGCCAGGCCTCTCAGTGCCACGCCAGTCTGGCCCTGGCTTTGGTGAGGGTGTTGGGGGATTTGCCTCCCTGCTGTTTGCTGCTTCCACCCCTCAGGCTTTGCCCTGTTGGGTGAAGGACCAGCCTCCCCGGGGAGCTTCTTGAATTATGGAGTGCGGAGACACAGGCCTACAGCCTGGGGCCAGAGCCTGAGTGTGTGTCACTTTGGGCAAGATTGTGACTGAATTTGTGTGACTTTAGCTTGCTAAGCCCATGTCTTAATCTATAACGCAGGGGTGCCGATCTCGCAAGCCTCAGAATTTTTGAGGTCAGAGTACTTTGAAAACTGCAAAAGCCACCCAAAATGTTGCTGATGCCCTCAAGACAGCTGCAGCTCACAGTGTAGGACAGAAGGAAGCACTTCATGTAGGACAGAAGGAAGCACTTCCGGGTCAGTCCCAGGCCATCCTCACAATTGTGACGTTTGAGCCTGTTGGTGCAGCCCCTTGTCAATCCATCCGGTTGAGGGGCTTCCTCTTTTCCCCTGACCCCCGACATCCCCAAGCACCGTGCCCTTCTCAGGGACTAGCCTCTCCTGAGAGCATGTGCGTGGACCTAAGATGGACTTCCGCTGCCCTCTCTGCTAAGGCGCCTTCTGGCTGCACACCCCCCGGAGAGCTGTGTGGTTTTCCGGCATTGGCGGGACCTTCATTGTTCTTGCCCAGCACTGTCATTCCAACGCACCGATCCTTCCGTGGCCTTTCTTATTCCGTGCCCACCTTTCACATGCATAGGAGGGGCTTTGAAATTCCACGTCTTGGGCCCCCTGCCCTTACTCTTCAAGGTGACTGTGGCTCTTTAACAGTTTAAAGAGGACTCCTCCGTATGTCCTCTGATCGCTTGATTGCCGCCTCTGTGAG